CGGACGCGGAAAGGGAGCCAACGGTGGAAGATTAAGGCCAAGAGAAGGCAGCGATAGGAAAGAAGCGCCCTATCAAACCCGTCATGGTCCCAGCAAAAAAAAAAAAAAAAAAAAACAAAGGGGGGGGGGCGGGGGGCCACCGTGCAGGAATACCAACTTGGTTCTTGCAAACATACTCCGCTGCATAGGAAGAGGCAGATATGCATATCAAGTCACACTTTGTAATAGCCTGTTTGCTCAGACATTTGGCAGCATGTCTCCCTCAAGCCTTGGCGTCCGGGAGCGGAATGGGGTTTTCGAGGAGCATCGGTTGTTGCATGCCCGCTTCTTGCTCCACAGCATCAATCTTACCTTCATCAAGCTTCTTGATAGTCCCAGGTTCCTCCAGATATCACAAAATTCCCCCACAAACCCTTCTCCAGATTTTGGGAGCACGGAGCACGGCTTGGACAAACATCGGGGCGATGGAGAGGCATAACATTTTCATTGTTCGCCATCCTCGATAAAGCCCGGGCGGAGCTCAGCCCCAACATCCCCGCAAGCCTCGTCTCCACTCGTGCAAGAAATGGCCATTGACCAGCAGGAGCCCATATTCGTCAGAGTCCCTCGTTCAACGAGATGTGCTGGTTGTGCTTGGTTTGGTCGATGTGTGTCGTTGAAATTGAGAATTTCCTCAACGGAGTGACCTGCAGGCACTAATCTAGAAGTGTCTTAGTCTAGCCTCACGCTAAACTGAATGCAAACAAAGACCAAAGACTGGAACATTTACATAAAGGAGAAAGAAAGGGAAAAAGGAAACTCAGCTTAGTATTGTTCTTGCACAGAACAATATAAAACATGCTACGTATACTTATATATAGTCTTTGCCCACATTCCCTTGTGCTACATGTTTGCGATGAGTGAAGTTAGACTTTTCAGTCACAGGCCATGCAACGATACAATGTTGTGTGCTTGGGAATTCATTGATACATCATTCCGAGGTTCTCATTTTAAACACTAAACAGGCTTGATGAACGCAGCATTTCTTCATGGCTTCTGAAACACTGAATGTGAGTTTATGTGGAGAGCTTTGTGGAGTCTAGGCCTGCAGTAGGGACTTCCTCGAGTTTAGAGTGGATATGCACAAATCTCGGGCAACGTATTCTGCCTTGGCTTGTTTTAACTGAACGTGGGGGTGGGGATCGCGTAGAACTAATTTTGGGCACTGCATCCAAACGATATACGTCATTCGTCATTCATTCAATTTCCATTTCTTGTCATAAGCAGTTCAGAGGCAGGGGGATAATCCCCAAGGTAAAAAAAAATCAGCTCTCGTAGCAAAAACTGGTATACCAACATTATCTCGTTGTATGGCGGCTCGGACATGTTGGGAGACCAGTGGCTAGCCCAAATCCATTCAGCATGTGAGATAACAAGAATATGGTTAGAAATTTCATGAACATATCACATAAAAATAGAGAAGCAAATATAACAAACGTTCAACTGATGGGTAATAAAAAAGTCCACAAGACATCGAATGAAGAGGTGGTAATGACCTCAGGTGTATAGAGGTGCCGTAAGGCTATTGAACGTCATCCCTTCTTTGGCAATGTCCTCTTCAATCAAGAACATCAAGGGCATCTCCACGACCGTTCCCTTGACCTTGCTCAACTCCTCCTTGACCTGCTGTACTCCTCCTGGAAAATCTTCGCGAACGACATGGCCTATCAAGTATGGTTTTTCCCGTGTTTCCCCTTCTTCATCTTTTTTCTCCTCCCCGACAGGACTGCGGAAGGAATACTCGAAAAACTCCTTGTAGTCGTTCCAGTGTCGGATTTTATCATCGGGCACAGCGTGGAAAACTTTACGATAGACCTCCGTGTTCTGTTTTGCGCGGGAATTCCAGAAGCTCTGGAATGTGTCAGATAGAGGGTCGATGACGATTTGATTCTCTGGTGAGTTCATATCGTAAGAGTTGGGCACGCCCACTGGCTCAGAATTAGCAGTTGACCTCTCATAATCTTGAACCGGAAGCAAGCCCAAATGTTTTCGGCATAGTTGTCGTCGAAGAGTAGTCGCAAATTTGCTCACGAGGTACGGTTTGCCGTCCATTGATGATTCCAGAGGAGTAGGGTCTTGGATGATGACAGCAATTTCCGAATCGTGATCGCCCAGCTGGGAACGGTCGTTGAGATTAGCACTTCCGCAGATGACCGTTCTGTCGTCGGCAATCAAAACCTACACACACCCATTAGTACAGCCATTGAAATGTCACTCAGCCAAACAAAGAAAATAGGTCGAAAGCTTGAAAAAATGTGGGGTAACAAACCTTTGAATGCACATAAAGTTCCTCGCTGACAAAGGCATCAATTTCAGAAACATCGCCGGGATGTTCCCATGGCACTTTTCGAATGTCCTCGCCACCAAGCATATAGCACTCGCTTACGCTATTCCAACGACCAGATCCGCTTGAATGGGAAACCTGCTGTGCAGCCCGTTGGTATGGTTGATAGGCCGTAGTAGTATCGAAAGCGCTAGTTCTGCTCGCAGCAACCTTGTCATCATGCTGCTTTTGGGCGTCCTGGTAGTCAACCCCACTTTTCTGCTCAACTTTTCTCATCTCTGCGCTTGCGGTAATCCTGTCATAGTTGCGAAGGTTATAGAAACGGATATAATCCATCGGGTTGTATCCCTCCTTGGCAATCAGTTCCATAATACTATGGCCTCCACGGTTGATGGAAGCGTATTGGAATTCCATAATCGCACGAATCCCGAGAGCAGCGTCATCACGAAGCTCTCCCGCAAAGCAGGGAATTGCTGGGATGACAATTATTATCATGTACTTCTGTCCTGCTCTCGCAGCACGAAGAATCCGTTCAACAATAGCCGCACCAATCTTGTTTTCGACAGGTTTCTGAACATCACCAGTCGCTGTGATGAAGAACTGGTTTTCAATGTATATGAAATGCTCGCTGTCGCGAATTATAGCCGCGTATGCATCCATAATTGAGTGTTCTACTGGAATACCATGGCTCCATTTGGCTGAGCTACGAACTATCTGACAAGACATGTTCGCCGGCGCCCTCGCAGTAGAACCAGGAGTACCAGAGAAATATCGATCCTGATATTGGTGCACCTGCCCAGCAAGTTGACCTCGAAGGATGTTTCCAAAATTTCCAAGGTCATTTCTCAATCCACGGAGCTCAGAAGTCAGAGTGCGATCCTGGTCAGTTTGCTGTTGGTAGCCTGGTTGGAACTGCTGCTGATAGCCTTGGTCATAGTGAGGTTCTGGCCCACGAGTCTGCGAATGCTGGCTAGCTTGAGTTGGAGGGGGAGGGAAATATGGCGTCTGGGACTGCGATTGCTGAGGTGGAGCGGCCCATTGAGGTTGCCCTGATTGATTGCTACCGCTATATTGGGTTTGAGACGGTGGAGGGCCAGGAGGAGGCGGGGGGTACTGCTGGGTCTGACCTGGAGGAGGTGGCTGGTGTCCATATTGTTGCTGCTGCTGTTGCCCATGTGATCCAGGAATGGTGCCAGCTGGCAGCGGTTTTCCGTAGAGAACCAGCTTCGAGTATCGAGAGTCCTGACGGACATTGTATTTTTCGTCGTAAATGAAGTTCCATCGCTCAACGAAATGCCTCCGAAGGTCCTCAACAGCAGGCCCGTGCAGACTAACTGAAATATCCGACCAGCCCATGCGGGAGTTGCTCTTGCGATCAAGAGTGTTTTTTTCCCAATGAAGCACATCCTGGAAATCCAAAACACGAGCATTGTTATAATCCTGACCAGGGAACACAGTATCCCTGATGTCGTTAGGATGAACATCAGAAATAGAATGTTGATGGGTATCCCAACGGCCATAACACAAATCAAGTCCACCCATGAACGCAGTCTTCCCATCAACCATGCAAAGCTTTTCATGGTGAGCCCAATAAAGAACAACATCACCACTCATCCCGTACAAACCTTTCAAAGCATCTCCGGAAAGCTTGGATACGCCGGCTGCGCTGAGAGTCAAGTTTTTGAATGAATCTATAACAGAAGAATGGATAGATTGCCGATCAGGCAGATGATCTGGGTGGCGGAATACGGCAATGTTTGGATGAAGATCCTCCAGATGATGCTTAGTGTGAGAAGACGATACTGCCATACGACAAGGAATAAGTTTTTGCTCATTATCTCAATATTTGTGTAAACCCGACTGACATTGCTGATGTGTTGGGTGAAGATTGAATACTTACAGGTCATTGCCTGGGTGACCTCTTTATACACAATTACGTTGACACGCACCCCGCGTTGAGCTGCAGCCTGCAACATTCGATCGAGTCTGTACTGCTCATTTTTGGAAGGCGGGCGTCTCAAATATAGCTCCGGAGATAGCCACCCTATAATAGAAAATAATTAATCGACGGAAAAAGATGTAAAGATGTATGATATGACGATGTGTGTAGATCACTGACAATCGAGGATCCAAACCGACTCCTTTGCATTCTCCAACGCCCTAGAGATGGCGTACATATAATCACAGCCATCGACATACCACTTGGCATCGCAGTGCTCCCTGGGCGGTGCAAAGCTTCCAAATCGATTCTGTGAGTTTGATGGGCCCGGGCCATACTGGGCATACGCTTGAGGATCCAAAGCAGAGCCAAGTTTCTGTGCTACATCGGAGCCAATTCCTTGTATCTTGCCGAGTAGCCCCGACACCATATCAGACTTTGGTGGTTTGCTTTGATGGTAGGGAGGGTTCTGGCCTTGGATAGGTTCATTGTATGGTTGTTGGCCAGGGGCGGTATAAGGTTGCTGAGATTGTGGAAACTGTTGTCCGTAGCCATGGGAGCCGGGTTGTCCCTGAAACCTTGTTAGGGGAACCATAAAAATACGTATTCCACAGACGATCTCCAGATTTCTTACCTGATAGCCACCTTGAGTATCGTAGTGCGACTGCTGATATGGTTGCTGGGAGGGCTGTCCGCCCGAGTAAGTCTTGTATTTATCACGGAACTTGTGGAGAGTGTCTCCTAGGAGACTCCTCTCCCCTCCCCCCTCCCCTCCTCCTCTTTCAGACTCTCCTTGTCCGCCATAATGCCCGTAGGCCAAAGGGTCTTCTTTTCCGGACATATTGAGGTTGGGTTGCGGCTGACTGCGCAGTAGTGCGGGGCAAGGGCTTTCAAGAAGGGCGTTCGACTTGCGCTGTTTGAAATTTTATTTGATATAACTCTCACAATAAAATGAAACGAATCTTCGATTCCAAATCTACGCAGCCTCGAGCATGGCCCAAGAAGCGAAAAGAAAGAGAGTGCCTCCTTTATGTGACGGATGATTATGTCTATCCTGAACTGGTGGAACACGCGAAGTGGGGGAAGGGCCCCATGTGGCTTTGCTCAGCCACCAAGACCGTGGCGTCACCGTCCACTCACAGCGCTCGGTCTTGATGCATCTCGTCTTCCTTGATCCCGTTTGCCGGATAAGAGACTCGGAGGAACATGCCAGCAATGAGTTGTCCACAGGGCCGTCAGCAGACTTTCGTAGACTTCAGCGGACCTCAGCGGACGGACAGTGGACCAGCCACACGACCTTCTCCTCCAGCCTACTGCATAAAATTGCCGCATAATCAGGCCAGCAAATTCGCACTCAGCAATCAAGTTGTGACGTTTAGCTGCGCCGGGATTCGGGATTCGCGCAGGCAACGAACGATCTTAAGCCTGGATTTGGTGTGGGATATCTATGCCTCTTTCCGCCGCTTTGCTACAGAGGGGGTCAAGGGCTCTCAGCAGTAAAGCTCTCAATGACTGCCGCCCTTCGGCTGAGTTCACAGTCAATCAAAGTAATTGTGAGCCGGTCCGCGTAAGGGGACGAGCAAGGTTAATGCCTTCATCTGCCATCCCGAGGGAGTTGCGGACGCATCAGAGACGCAATGATGAAAATCGTTGACAAGAGGATTATTTTGTCGTCCACTGTGCTCGTTATGTGACCTGGAGGATAGTTAGTCGCCAGGAAGGCACCATTCCAACCATCCAGGGATAAAATTGGCGAATCACCAGAAACACTATGAGGAGGGGCTTTGTTTTTCCTCCTCCAATTTCTCAGAAGATTACTCTTGATGAACCATAAACCCTACAGTAACAACATTAGTAGTCCTCATCCTAACCCAGGATGGCTAGAAATCCCAGCCAAGCTTCAGCAGCACAGACCCCCCCATTTGCCGTCATGACTGTGCTTGGCAGATCGGTGATGCTCCCAACTATTCTATTCTGCCCATGCTTCCTTAGGAAAACATTCCCGCAGCTCAACATCTCAAAATCACGATATTGAGCCAAATAATGCGTAAATTCTTCGAGAGCCTCCATTCGCATAAACTTCTCACAAGCAAGAAGCGCCAAAAACCCTCAATCGACCATGACAACTGCCCAATCAATGACCATTCGTCCTTCCCCTTTTTCTCCCTTCCGCCAGAGATCCGCAACCAAATCTACTTTGCTCTCTTTAGCTGTGACCAAGCCATTCACCTTTTCCATGTTAAAGAAACCCTCTACCTACTCCGCTGCCGCCAGTCAACTCCGCACCTCGACGGGACCTGTTGCCCCCATCTCTCCCTAGCCGACGGCGCCATCCCGTTCATACGCGACTCCTTGGCCAAAATCTCTCACTGCGATAATACATGTAAGTCAAGAATTAAGACGCCACATTCAACCCTCGCCCATCTACCCACTTCCATCCTATACGCAAACAAGCAACTATACAACGAGGCAGCCGCCGTGCTCTATTCAGAACTCAGCTTCGAAGCCTCTGAGCTCAAGACTTGGATCCTCTTTGCGCGCATGGTGTCACCTCACCATCTGGCGCTCATCAAGCGGTTGTGGAGCACCTGGATTGGTTTACCGTGTTTAACAATGGCGCCGGTACGTCCTGGTGCTACCGGTTATGCCTCATACGAACAATATACGTTGTGGGACGAGCCGTGGGACGAGTTTTGGGCGATTGTGAACAGTAGGATGGACGGCTTGGTGGAGCTCGGCTTTTGTATGAATTACGATGCGCAGTATTTGGATCGATCGACGGGGGCGAAGTGGCTGGAGCCTATGTTGACAGTCAGAGGATTAAGGAACCTCGACGTGTGGGTTCGGGATAGGATTGGGGGCCAGAGTAATAGGCGTGGAGAGGATGAGCCTGGAGCGAAGCGAGAGGGAGAGGCCTTGGTGCAATTTTTAAAAGGGATTATGTGTCAGGGTAAACGGCAAAAACTGGTTGATGGTACTCATGGTGACCTTCCTGCAGAGGTAGTCGCTGGCGGTGAGAAAAATCAATCAGGATTGGTTTTCCCCGATGTATTCTTGTCAATGCGTTGAGACTCCTAGGGAGATCTCATATACGTGCGTTGTTGATGGTGTTTTCAACAGAGCAATGTACGGCCAGGGAGCATAATCCTCGATCCCGAGGCCCTACATCCGTTGAACCGTACTCCGTACATAATTTCCAAGCCGCCGATATGGAGCCATCAGAGTCGAAGTGGATATCTCCGTGCCGATCAGGCTAACTCGGCAGTCAACGAACAAGCCCAAACCCCCAAACCCTCGACCTCTTATTTCAACAAATGTGACACCCTACCGTCCCAGCATTTTATTTTATTTTATTTATTTATTTATTTTTTTTTTTGGACTCGCAACCCTACAAAACTTAAAGAATCCAGCTTCCGCAGCTTCTTCATCACAGTCGGTGTCAATCGCAACATCGCGACCTCTTGCTGGTTTTCTCCACCGGGAGCCAAGCATCCAAGCAGGGCCGCTTTTGTCTGACAAATTTTTGGAATGCTTTAGTAATGGTGTGTTCGCATGCAGCTCCAAGGAGGCCATTAGCCTGGACATATTTCAAGGTGTGTACCAATACGCAGAGTGGAGAATTTGCTTAACTGATGAGCTTCAAGATCTAGTATTGCTACTATATTTGGGAATTCATACGTTGGTGTTAAATATGACCTCCGCGCGGGTTAGGTTTGTAGATAAACTTGTGTTTACCTCGATAGACAATCTTGATGTGATGGATTTCCAAATAACTTGCCCCGGTTTTATTCCCCAAATACAGATATCGCCACAGGGAGCAAGTTGTCTTCATCGCCCTGTTATCTGATGTTGAGGAGGAGATTACTGGTCCTTGGGATGAACTCCACTCTTACATGCGAAGTTCCAAGCGCCAAATGTGAAAATATAGTATGGATCCCAAGATTTTTGCCAATAGAAGAAACCTCAGCGCTTGGTCTTGCTTGAAATCTTATTGGAAACCCCGAGACTGGAGTTCAAATGGCCCTGACCCAGGTGGCAGGGTTACTAGCCCCGAATACTTTGTCTAACTTGTCAACTGGTTTGTAGCAGATTTATCATCTCCAGTGTATATCTAGCGTTGTATGGATGCGCCGGGCTCCTTTCCCACCGCCCTACTTGAGTCCGTCGATGTTCGGTCTTGATTTTAAATGTTGAGTCAGACATACGTCCGTTGGCGATGTGACATGCTGAGAAGCCCTTCAACCCTGAGGGTTCAGCTCCGGTCCTGGTGGAATGGATATAAAGATCCTAATTACGGACTGCTTCCGGTTTTTCCTGCCAGAGTGAAGGAACGAAGGAATTTTTTGTGTCTTTGCTTCATTGACACCCCCTAGATGCAGGGCTAACAAACCGCTTAAAGTTATAATAATCCCAAAATCCGTTTGACCAAGCCTAGAGTACAACATGATGGCCGAAAAGTCGTTTCGTCCACTTGCATCACCACAAAAAACGCCATCGTACATGCAACTGAGAAAAACGCTCAGTCAAAATCGTCGAACCAATATTATCCGCGACAATTTCACTATCACCACATGGCTTCTGGTCGGCGGGTTGATCCAAGGCGTGGTTGTTGCTCTGTTGGGCTATCTTTCTCTCCTCCCAGCCGTCGCAGTTCTTGCTTACCGGTTCGGTAACAACCTTCTCATGGCCTTGGGCTGGACAAAGAACCGCTACCTCTCAAACGTACTTCTCACCAAATTTACGGCCCAAATGCCTTGCTCGGACGGATCCTTTGGCTCGACCTTTGCCGAGCGACCCCTGGTCGTATTCTTGATAGGAGCGAAGTCCAGTCACCCCCTTGGAGCCTTCGATCCTGTGTTTTTAAAATTGGCCGACTACTTCTCTAAAATGGTACGGGAGCTCCGAGAGACTGCCGAGGAGTCCGGGTACCTAGGCTCCTCGGCCTGGATCAGTACAGAGGACACAACAACTAATGAGCTTATGAACGTGATGTACTTCCGGGATTTCGAGTCACTGCACAAATACGCCCACGGGCCGTTACACATTAAGGGGGTGAAATATTGGTCGAGCGTCGTGAATGACACTCCCCATGTCTCTATATTTCATGAGACATATGTCGTACCACAGGGTCGATGGGAAAATATCTACGTGAACAGCAGGCCGACGGGGCTAGGCGCTGCTTCTTTCCCGGTTCGTTCGGCCCAGGGCAAAACGGAGACGGAGTGGATGAGCCCGATTGTTGACGCACGGACGGGGGCGCTACGGGGTATGGAAGGGAGAATAAAGTCAGATTATCTGAAAGGCTTTGAGGAGAAGAAAAGCAAGGTGTGGGACCAGACATACAATGTAAACTATGGGAACGCCTAACGCTAGGCATCGATACCTGCAATAAAGGCAACATGGATGGGCATTTTATTAGATTTCAAAATCCAATTAGTATCTTTGACTTTTATCTAACGTACAGCATCTCCTCAACTTTTGTGGAATGGGTACATATTTGCGGAGCGGGACGGAACCATCGCAAACAGTGGCACTTTTGTCAGGGAGCTTGAAACGAAGCCAATCCCAATGGGAATATCTCATTCCAAGCGGTGATTAATATATTTTTCAGGATTGGAGGGTTGCACCACATCGATGGCATTGATTTGGGTATAATAACTCCGCATTTGAATCTCGCCATAAACAAGACATTCGTGTGTTCTCCAAGATATCCTGTGATAACGCTATCAAAATAAGCTGCAAGCGGGATGACGTCATGGTGAATTGTGCGGGCTTGATCAGATATGGTTTTGCAGCGGATTTACATAAATAACTACTTGATATGAAACATCAAAAAGTTATATCAGCAAAATTGGAGTTCGACTCCCCTCAACAGAACCCTATCCCATACACAGTACATTCGTATAAAAGTATCTTAGTGTGGCTTCTTCTCCCTCACTCGCTACCCCTCATCTCCAAAGAACCCCGCACCCCTTTCAACGGGGCTTCGGAGAAGGATGTTGAGCTACGAAATTCTTAGTCATAAACTTGATCTCGATCCTATATATGTCCGGCATTCCTCCTTGTGGCTTGCATTGCGGAGGGGCAGGGAAGACTATCCTGAAACCCCGTCAATTCGACAGACCTAATGACATTCCACACCATCCCACATCACAGACAATACAATCAGTGAATCTCCACGCAGCATACGATACAGCATGTCCAATATCAACCTCGCAACTCTCGATGTAAAGTATCTTCCTTGGAAGAAAGTACCGGTGAACAGGTGATTAACCTTATTCCGCCCAGATCTCCGAACATCCTAACCTCCCCACCTCCTCCGCAGTGCTCTTCAAAGCCAAAGCCGACAAGAAGCTCTCTTTCGAGAAAATCGCATCCCACATTGGCCGGAATGAAGTAGCCACCGCAGCCATCTTCTACGGACAAGCAAAAGCCTCCGCAGAAGATATTGTCAAGTTGGCCGAGGTCCTTGGCATTGACCATGGCCAGTTGGAGTTCCTTCTGAGCGGGTTCCCGGACCGGGGCAAATCCGTCTCCTTCCCACCTAAGGACCCCTTGATCTATCGTCTGTATGAGATTGTGCAGAATTACGGATATGCGTATAAGGCGGTGATGAATGAGAAGTTTGGAGATGGGATCATGAGTGCGATTTCGTTCTCGACCAAGGTTGAGAAGGAGACTGATAACGATGGGAATGATTGGGCAGTCGTGACGTGGAGGGGGAAGTGGTATGTGCAATTCTATTACCATTTCTTATACGTTTGCGGGACCCTTTTTGGATCTATCCATTTCAGCCGTAGGATATAGAGTGGGCTTTTTGAGCTGATTAATTCATTACGATAGGCTTCCGTATTCACGATTCTAAGCGGAATTTGAAATGGAAATGGGTAAATGGAGGACTGTGATATTATATAAAACCTTGATCCTATCTTCTATGCTGAAAAATATTCACCCCGTTTCTTGATAAGGGCTTTTAAGTCATTGTTAGGTAAATAATACGGATCACTAGCTGATAGGTACGCAAAATGCCAAATGAGAAAGCACTGCTTTGTTATTATCAATGGTTAAACCAATAGGATGGGCAAACATACATCGAAAAGAAATTTTGCTCAATATCATGTTCTGTTTAAATGATACACCCATTTAATTATAACCCAGGTAGCGATAGCGAGCTGTGGGATGCTTCTCGCATCACTCATCAGATAAAACATTCACCTGCCGTCTAGATCCCTGGCTCAGGTGAGCAAGAAGATATAAGAACACTATCTGCTTCCGTCTCGTTCTTCTTTATTCTTTACTTCTGTAAACATTATTTCTCCTCTCTTTCCCCAGCATCGCCGAAGGACATAACCACCTCCCATCACCCAGCTAGCTAACGACAAGAACCCCCAACATGGACTCCAAAGAAATCAGTCCTAGAATCGTCTGCACCTTTGACAATTGCAACCGTACCTTCGCTACTCAGAAAGAGCTTCGAAAGCACAAAATCCAGTTCATTGACCATGAATACTGTGCCCGTTGCGACCTGGACTTCGAAGATGAGAGAGAATTGTTCGCCCATAAACTCGAGAGCAACAGCCATATTGTCTGTCCTTGCTGCGGAGAAGAATTTAAAAGCGAGGGAGGCAAGAACACACATTTTACTCAGGTATGATGGTTTTCTGCTTGTGGTATCTATCGAGTTTTACTTAATCGGCTGTCATTTCCTTTTCCTGCCCACCGCTCTCATGCATTGTCTATTACTACGATTCCATGTATTTCCTATAACCCCCGAAGACGCGCAACTCATACTTTAAACAGTTCCATAGGGCCAACCAAGAGATGGTCTGCCACTTCTGCTCTGCCAAGTTCAGCCGTGCCCATGCGTACATGTGTCATATAGAAAACGACCAGTGTCCGTCGTTCTCTGCAGAGCGGTATAGGGAACAGCGAGTCAAAAAGGAAGCTCTCAGGACCGTGATGTCCCGGGTCTTGGACCCTATTGGAAACGGATTGGAGCTTCCTGGTTCATCTATCACTTCGAGCGTGGATGGTGGCACTGGCCTCTGTCTCTTAGATAGGCATGAAGCAATGTCCACGCTGGATGCGAGCAGTAAGCCGGCCGCCACAGGGAGCAGTGGTGGATGGGACACGGCCTCTGTGCAACTCCGCGGTATGAGCCTCTGGCCAACTCTCGGAGAAGGGCAAGACGTGGAGATGGACCCGGAGGAGAGGGACTTCACGACGTATTCTGATGCGGGATTTTGCCGTGACGAGGAGGGATCTAGAAGTAGTTTCCGACAGACAACCCCGCGCGACAAAAACGCCCTTTTGATCGATTTTGACGAGACGTCATCAAAGGCATCCGAGAAAACTTGGGGAACTTGGGAAAGCAAATTTGCCGCATCGCCTATTCCTCGGACAGGCGGGGCTGTCGAGAAACGCCAGCAGGAACCATGGAGTCCTTCTAAGTTCTTCAGTCCCGCTATGGGCAAGTGGGTATGTGTATGTGATAAGGTATTTGATAGTGAGAAAGGATTCGAGAGCCACATTAAGTCTGGTATCCATATGGGTGGTGTTTTCCGGTATGAAATATCTTCACCATCTGTAACCTATCCACCTATTTGGTTGTTTCCTGTCTCCCCCATATACACCTTTATGCACACCTGCCCCTTCGCTTCGCCCCAACATTAACCCCTTGGGAAATTAAGAATAAGCCCTAACAAGAGTGCCTTTCTCATCCGCGTAGCTGCCCCGGCTGCTTGCGCATGTTTAAAACTAGCACAGCATTGACAGCGCACTGCGAATCCGCCACGGTGCGTTGCAAAGTGAATAAGGACGAGAACTATGCCCGCATAATGGATGAAATATCCGCCGGACTGATCGAGCCAGCCGGAGAGAATGAAGATGGCTCTATCAGGTATCGAACCGTCCTGCCATCTCAAACTGGAATTGATTGGAAGAAAGTTGTGTGGTAAGGGGAGACTTTGGCCAAACATGCGTGTGGATATTGAGAGTTAGAAGCTGGCACCCATCGTTTAGTAGATGGTTTTTATTGCTATCGATTCCGTCTTCTCCGCTGACGCGGAACAAGAGATGAAAAAACGACTATGGGGTTTGGCTAGCAGGAAAAGTACTAGTAGGTAGACATAGGAACGGGAGGGTATACGAAATTTATATGGCCCGTTCTAGGACGATGAGTGGCTGAGGGAAGCTCCGAAATAGCGACTTAAATTAAATACGTTACTTAAATACTAGCATTTCTTATTTTCCAGGGGCTATAATAGGAGAAATAGTCATAGGATGAGGTTGTTGATTTGACTTTGGAGGCAAAATCCTTTCGATGACTTTAGGAAGATGCTCAAGAAATTTATCAAATAATCGCTATGCCTTGTCGTCAAACTAGTAATCCGCGTTGCCGTTTCAAGTATATTCAATCTGATAGTTAATGCCGGCGAATTTTTGCGTTGATAATAGAACAGAATTGCTCCTGGGATTGGATCTCTGACTTGTCTATCCCCAATTGGGCAATCTAGAACATTACAAAAAGTTTTACGGAGTACATCATGCCTGTTTCTTTTTATCCACCAAATATAACTGCAAAATCTACTCAAAGATTGAGTCTTCCAATTGGCATTTTGTAAATACCGATATATCATTACCTCCTCTCCAACTATAAATATTCAATTCTTTCACAAAAAAGACAGTCCGCAAGATAGTGCTAGTACTAGCATTTACTCCCGATTCCGCGAACCGAGACCAGCAAGCAAACAATACTCCGTACAACGGCGCTTAAGCCTTGGTTGTAACAAGAAAACAAATCCATATCCCGCTACGCCTTGATCTCACTGAGCCCTTCATAGGAGGGGAAAAGATCCCTCCCTGGAAGTCAGGCCATGGCACCGGCCGACTCCTCCGCACCACATTCATCCTCCAGTACCACCACTACAGCAACCCATCCCGTCCGCGATCGCAAAGCCGACTACGAGAAATTCAAAAACTTCGCCGCTTATACCTTCCTATTTGCATCACCCGTTTTCATCGCTCTGCCGCCGCGTAAACTAGACTTTTACACCTTCAGCCTTGGCGCTGCTTTCCTCGTGTCTGCAAATCGCATCTCCTCCATACACACAGGGAGCAGTATAGTGGGACACCTCCGGTCGCGCACAGTTGGCGAGAACCGGCCGACTGTGTTCCGCGACCTGCCTACGCCTCAGGCGGAGGCGATACAGGCACAGCTGCGCGCGGTGCGGGAGGCTGAGATGCGGGAAGGGAAGATTGTAGGTCAGGAGCTGGAGAGGTGGAAGCAGAGACAAGGGGAAGAGAAGGAGATGAATATTGTGCAAAAGGTGTGGATGGGTGGGGAGAGGGAAGGGTGGAAGGAACGGAGGCGCAGGGAAGAGCAGAAGGCGCTAGAGGAAGGGAAGGGGTATGGAGATTCGATCAAGGAACATATTTGGGATGTGGTGACTTGGGGCCAGAAGGATGGTGAGCAGGGCGAAGTGGGTGAGGTAAAAAATGGAGGCGGAACGGAAAATGGAAGTAGGAGCAGATGAATATTTGTATTTTCTTGCGGGTGTGACCTTTTAAGTTGATTTTTCAGGCTATGGCTCTCATTGTTCATCCGGAGGGGATTCGCCGGACGATGCGCCGCTACGATTGTCAAATCCCAACCATCGCATGAAGAATCGAAGATAGTATGTGTACAAGCATGTACTATTCCGCTTTCTCAGTTGCTGGATCTGGTTATCATGGTACTTCATGCTCACAGAGCATCCGTGGCTCTTCTGCTATCCCCCTAAGCAGCGGAGTACTATATCCACTCTTCGAACTGCTCCCAATTCCGTGATGATCCTTATTTCGACTCTGTTTGTCTTATATTCATCCGTCTACTATAAAAGTATTGATGTGTGGAAAGTGGTAAAAGGAAATTGTGGTGGAAAAGAGATGGCTACGCGTTGATGATGAAAGTTACGTGCACTCTCATCTCCCTGCGCACCAGAACAATGTGTGAAACTCGACTGAGATAACCCCCAATGTACGGAGTACGATAGAATTAGTTGATCACCTCTTTTTCAAGTATTTTTACAATATTGCGCGCATGGGGCTTTTTAGGGCCCGCACCTTTTGACTTACTCCGTGCCATCCATACAAAGGACACGAAATTCTTGGATCATTTATTGCTCCGACAACCCATTTGACAGTACTGACATCCCGTATGGAAAGCAAAGAAGGAAGTCCATTCTGCAAAATTTCCCTTGAGTTACAATTTAGAAAAGGGTGAAAACATCCCAGCCACAGAGTTTCTAAATATCGCAAAACAAGCGCGTTCTGTACAAGATGATTGCAAGTTGTGAGGAATACGAGGAAAGGAGAAAAGAGCAATTGAACATCCCTGTAAAATCAATTCCAAACCCAGCAGTACAATTTAGCGTTTGCAAGGCGGCTCGACAATTTCTCACGTTGTCCAACCCAAGTAGCCCTAGCCCCTCCAAAATCCAGTTCTAACAATAAAACAAAAAGTGGATCAGCGAAAGCGAACGAAACATACGATAGCGGGCCATAAATAAAAATAGGGAACCACCACATTTATCCTTCTCAAATTCTTAGCGCAAAACTCTTGCTGTCTTTCTCTAAAAGTTTAACATAGCTCATGCGCTTGACGGGCACGGCTTCTTGTGTTGTGCACAACCCATTTTTCAATGCGTCGGGACCTTCGATCAGTTCCCTCGTAAACTGTTTAAGTGATGCCGTAAGCGGATTTTTGTATTTCTTTGTGATTCGGCTTTCAGAGCCGACGTGCGGATTCTCTCGACCGCATTCACCATGTTGAGGTCGACGCGGAGAATTTCCTCGAGAGGAATTTCTTGGTTGATGATCAATCTTTTTGGGAGGAGTGGTTGGAGGTGTTGGACCACATATTGGGCGAGTTGGCAAGCTGGGGTTGTGAAAAGGCAGTGGAGAAGTTTTTGATGAATGCGACTCCTGCAGACAGCTTTTGGGAGTCGGCATTTCTGACAATGCTCTACTTATATCGTCTGCTGAAGGGAAGCGTGGTTCTGCCTCATTCCTAGCGGACGCCAAGGTGAGGTCTATGAAGATGGTGGAAATATCGCAATGTTCTTTGTATAGTGTATCGCAGCATGCCTGGTGGTATCTCTCCTTGGGAACGAGTGGCGGATTAAATGACATATTGAAGAAACCGGCATCGTCGTTTATAGTTCGGAAAATTGTGTCATTGAGTCCAATTCTCCCAGCCCAGTA